ATCACTCGTACGCACAATTTAAGAACAAATCTGTGCGTACGAACGGTTCTTGCATGAGGCCCATTGACTCTACTCTGAGGTCCCTCGCCTTATTTCCAAGGTTGAGCTGCTTGGATCCAGGATCTCATCCTTTCAGTAAGAATCCAGCCCTCAGAACCAGGTGAGGGACAGAAACAGCTCCTTCTTCACCACAGCAGACCAGAGCAACATTACTGTGACAAGGCTGTGGATTCATCACCTGCTCCATCACAAACCAATCTCGTAGAGACTGGACTACCTCTGCTTGAGGTAAGAGTCTTCATTGGTCATCAATGGCTGTTCCACTACACATATCTGCTAAAACTAGACGCGAGACCCTGAGGTTCCCAAACTGGACTCCTCCTACCCATGATCTTGTCCTTAACCACCACCAACAGGAGATAAGGAATAGGGGTGACAGTCCTGATGGAGTCCAACCTGGACTGCTTAAACAGCTTTTACTTTGGTTACACAGGTATCAGCAACACTGGGACCCAGAGTTGTTGATTACTTTGGGGGCATGATTAGAAAATCCTTCAAAAGCATGTGACACATGTGGACAGGACTAAGTCCTTAATGAAGAATGTAAAACTGTTTTTAAGTAACCTTGTCCTACGTTAAAGAAAGATGTCAGACTAAAATGTATTGAATAGTTTAAACTCCAGCTAAAAACACTGGACAATCCCCATTCTGGAGTCAACCTTCCACCTGAGCTGGATGTTTGATACCTACTTCATGTACAGGGCGAGGTCAGTAGCCAGGATCGCCCTTTCAATCATCTTCAGAGTGATCTTGTACTCGTCCAGAGAGAGACCACTTAGGATCTGGTTTCCCTGCAGAGACAGACTCGTGTGAGAGTAGGAAGACCTCCAGCAAGATCTCCATAAACACAGACATAGCGTCCAGAATTAGATTCTATGCTCTGATACYTCACTGGTTAGACCATTAAGGTGTTGCCATGACAGCTGTAAACAGAAAAAACACACGAAAATAAAAGAAACTAAATAAATCCAGACCATTCCTGGAGTGTTTCCATATCTGTATGTTGACCAATTGTTCCAGCTCTGCTGTGTTTGAAGAGCTTCTGAACACAAGTGTTTGGATTACTCAGCCTGAATCTGCAAACAGCTTTGTTTCTTCATCAGGCAGCGTGGAGCTGAGAGCTGCTGCAGGTAGGAGAGGAGTTAGAGTTTGATATGAGGCTGCAAAGATCAGAGCTGGCTCATCACACAGTTCAGTGATGAGCTGATAAACAAGACAGAGAGAGCTGACAGTCACTCCCAACCTGCTGCTGTGTAGAGAGAGAGAGAGAGAGAGAGAGAGAGAGAGAGAGAGAGAGAGAGAGAGAGAGAGAGAGAGAGA